CCCCCTGCTCAAAGCCGGCCGGCCCGGGGGTCCTGCGGCCAGCACTGCGCGGGGGGCTGGAGGGCAGGCACCGGACACAGCGCCGAGCTGCGGCCTTGCTGGGCCCCTGCTGGGATCTGGGCCGGAGCAGCCGGCGGAGCTGCCCGGGAGCCGGGCTCCGGACTCTGACCCCAGGCACTGAGTGTCCCCCCTGCGGCAGGGGCGACAGGGCCCCAGGGCTGGGGGATGGTGCGGAGCCACTGGGGAGCCTGGCACCCCCGCCGGCCGGCTCCACCCCCTCGTTACCGACGGCTCAGGGCCACTCCCCCCGGCACGGTCCGGCTTCGGGAACCGTCCCGTGTCCCCCACCCGCCCCGGATTCATTGCACAGGACACGAGACTCCTCCAGGCAGCAGCGGAAACCGGCCATGCAGCCGGAGCCCCCCAGCCGGGCAGGGCTGCCCCACGTGGCTGGGCACCGGTCGCTGCAGCTCGGCCCTCCAGGCGCTGGCCGGGGGCTCGGAGGCGGGTCGCAGACGCAGCCGAGAGCGGCCCCATTGATCGCAGCTAAACCGGGAAGGGGCCGGCTCCGTCCGACCCGCCAGCCACGGCCCAGCACGCGTGGGCTCCTCGCCAAGTCACAGGTAGGGCAGAGCCCAGCCCTGAGCCGAGGGCACCCGGGAGCATGGCGGAGCCCAGCCCTGGCTCCCCCGGACACCTGGCCTGCCCAGGCCGCCTGCCCTCACCTAGGGATGCCAGGTGTGGTTGGCCACATTCCTGGAGATTCATCACATGGCATCAGGTTTAGCGTCCGTAAACTCCAGGACAATCCTGGAGCGTTGGCAACCCTACCTCGTCATCGCCCACTGCCCACTCCCAGCAATGGGGCAGGAGGGGGACACGGACTCCCCCCTCCCCCCGTGCTAAGATCAGGCTCAAAGCCCGGGACAAACAGCCCCGCTGCACTCCGCACCCTGCTCCGGGTCTAGACACCCGCCCGCAGCAGCCCGGTCAGGAGCTCCAACCCTGCTCTGGGAACAGGGCTTTCCCCGGTCAATCGGGAGCCAAACACCCCCCAGCCGGGGCCCCAGCTTCTGCCGGCCGGCCACGGAGGTGCCCAGGGCTTCAGGGACAGGGATGGACCCGCTGGAGCGATAAACACATCTGGGCAGGAACCTGCTGCTCCGGGTCCCGCTAAGGGCCAGAGGCTCCCGGGTGTGCTGGGAGCAGATGGACAGACCGACCTTCCCTGGCAAAGCAGCGTCAGAGCTGGGCCCCGAACCCAGGCGTCCGGGCTGCTGCCCACAACACCTGCCTCGCCAGTCCCGTCAGCTGCGGGTGCGGGAGTCCTGGGGCGCACGGCGGGTGCCTCAGGACCCCCCGTCCCTTCCCGCCGCCTGGCTCCAGCTCCGAGGGGACACGGGGCTGGGATCAGGGCTCCGGGCTGCGCCCTGCTCCTGCT